CTCTAATGAGGTTTGTGCCCTCTGCACCAACTCGTGGATAGCAGATTCGCAGGATTTTCCCATTTGGGAGGCATATTGGTTGTGGTGTAGAGGACTTCTAGTAAGAACCTCTTCCCTGATGTGTCTGTCGATCAGCTTTTCTGGTGTTTTGAGTAAGAAGGATGTTAGGCTGATCGGGCGAAAGGAAACAAAAGTTATATTGCGTTAAAGTTTTAGATTGAAGTCCAAAGTGTTAACACTGTACGATGTATTAATATTATGATGCAATAGAATTCTTAACAGATCTGTGGTGATTGGAAAGACGTATTTTTTTGTATCTTTAACTGCTTTTTTTTGCTTCTGCAATGAATTTTTAGATATGTTTTTAAGCAAAATTTTACTAAAATTGCGGTAATCTGCCAACGCCGTAAGTAAGAAAAAAACAATTTACGGTGCATATGCAGCGTTTCAAGCTGCATTCCAGGAGCTAATGAAAAATGGCTAGTTCTATTTAAAAAAATACACTTTGATCTTGCCTCGCTTTTCTGAGACACGTTGTATCATATAAGATATTTTTTAAATGTGCGCACTTTGTGCGTCAACAACTTTTATATGAAACTATTCTTCCAAAGTTCAACACCATCGGAAATAATGGACTCTATTGCACTAAAAAAACCACTCTGTATTACAATGGTTTTTTTAGCTAGGTTTTATTTAAAACAAAATTAATTTGAACCGTGTTCACATTGGTTGTTGCGATTGCTTGTCTTTTCAGGCAACAAACAAAAAAGTTTTCAAATTCAATCGAGAATTCGTATTTTTAGGAATAAAAGGCCCTTGCGCAGCACAGAAGAAATTGGCGGCGCAAAATTGGCAGTAAAACTAGAAACAACAACACACATACCCTGTACATTGTGACAACCGGTTGGCATACCTGAAGACACAGGCCCTAATAAATAAGCTAAATTTTCAAATTTGTGAGTATTTAAGTATTTCGTTCATACCCTTCTTAAGTACCGGCTTTTGGATATGTATCTAATTTGTGCAATCTACGCCAGGCTGAACAAAAAAAACAAAAAAAATATTTTAACATGCATTAAATTCGTAAATATTTTTGTTATTTAATTAACTCTCTGTACGTTTAGGAGATCCCAATGATGAATATTGTCGGTGTAATCACCCTGCATAAGCAAGGAAATTATTTGAAAATAAACAATAGTACAGTTTATTTTTGCTTCAAATATGTATATTTTGTCAAGCAAACGATAATAAAGTAAACACCATTTCAATGTAGATTGCACTTGGGGCCCCGTGTAAAACATAAGTCGGTATGTTGTAATATTTTACATACATATATAGGGTGTCACCACAAGAGATCGCTATTTACAATTATTAGGTATAATAGTTATAATTAGCATTAACTGCGTGTACAGAAAACTGTCCAATTTTCAGATACCTACTCGAGCGCAGAATTTAATGTTGAAGCAATATTTCAGAATATATATACTTAGGTATAATGTAGGTACGTTCTTCCATTTGTTCTATAAAAGGTGCTGCAAGATTTCAAGACAGGAAAGACCTAAATAAATAAAATGGTTACCAATTATGAGTTTGAATAAATTTTAAAATCTGATTATGGCGCTGTTGTCTCGCCGAAACGTAACGAAAAAAACGATACACAAAAAATGTTTGTTTTCTCACTGTGACTGGAGCCCAGGAAAGTTGACATTAGTGTGGCCATCATGCGAATTACGTATATCGAACAACAATCGAAGAGGCGTTTGAAAAAAGGTTTATTTCGTTAATACAACTTGTCAATTTGGTTATATTAAAATGTAATATTCCTTAAAGTCCATTCGTCAGCAGTTCCTATAGTTCAGGTCTGAATTAGATACTACATATGCAACTTGCGTTAAACAACTTCCATATTTTATGGTTTCTATTAATAATGTTTTTGTATTCTAAGTTATCACTTCTGTCGAGCGTCCTGTAACGCACACCTTTTTTAATATAGGTAAGTTTTAGGAAATGCTTAAAGCATCAACATGCTGGTGGTGCAAAAAAAATGGAGAAATTGCTTCTGCTCAGTTCTAAAGCATTCAAGACACAGTGTCCGAAATGATTAAAATAGCATGTTTTGTAAATCAAAATTTAAATTAAGCATTTATCGCAGAAAATCGAAACCGCATGATTGAAAAATAAGTGTTTGTTTTACATTTTATTGACTAACTGTGAAGCTTTTCATCTAATAAATAATTCAATAAATAACAACTTATTCATTCACCACAACTAAAGCTTTATCTTTAACTAGAACATCTACTTCCTGGCGATGTCTTCTTTTTTTCTGAGTTGAGACAAGCCGCTTCATTGAAAGGCGTGTTATCAAGTTTGACTGTATCACTTCTGATTTCGGCTTGATAAAATCCTGGTTCAACTTCTCTCGCTTGAATCACGCAGGTTCTAAGCTCATGTTCCACAGCTCTTGCATAGTTGACTAATTCTTCAATCGAGCCTGTATTCTCAACATTTTTGCATTTTTGGTACTCTTCATTTATTTTCTTGCGTCCTTCTTTAAGAGCAAATGTATCGCCCTTGAAAACAGTTTGTCTTGTCTTGTGTAAAGCTTTGAAACTCTGAAGAACCTCACGTCGTAGGGAGTTCGACATTTTATTGTTGCAGGATTACTTTAATTTAAGCATATCTGCAACATAAAATATTTTTAGTGGCTTTATTAAAACCATAATTTTAACTGTATTAAATTACAAATGTTTTAAAATTGTTTCTGCAAGTGACGCACAATTGCCCATCACCTTATGACTCTGCGATCACAAAAACTGCAACCACAAGTGAAATCACATTCACAGGTTAAATTCACAATTAAAAAGAAATCACATTCACAGCTATAACTGATTTTAAAATCACGCTTTAGCTCATCTCTAGTGTCGCTCATGACCCGAAATCAAAAATTAAACCTGTGTCCCATGCATCCGGTTATACCTTTGAATATAAAACTTAGTTTTATAATCAAAGGTTTATACGATGGTACCATTAACGAAAGTGTTTCTATTGGTTGGATATACGTCTATCTCCAATCGTCATATAGACGTCCGCCGTCGTACGAACTGACAGATCTCCAACCAATAGAAACACTTTCGAATCATCGTACTATCTTATAAACGGATACATGAGCCCAGGCTTAAGGCAAATAAAAACATATAAAAAACATAGAAGTTAAAATAATCTTTGTTTGTATAATTTAGACGTCCCGTCATGATTATTAATTAATTTCAAACTGGAAGTGTGAACATTCCTTTAGCATTTGATTGCTTTGACAACGTATTTTAACTGAATACAAAGACAAACATTATATGGGACACTTTGTATATTAAATCCTTCATGTTCAAATGACATGTCACATAACTTATGTGCTAAATAGTTTGTGGAGGAAAAGTACCAGTTTTATGAGTAATTTAGGTACGTAGAATACAATTGTTGAATGTTGCTATTTACGGTTACTGCTGACCTAACTAATCTTTCTACTAATAGAAAATAGCATTCAACATTAAAATAAGAGTAGTAACAGTTTATCTAGCAAGTAGAGCATTTTAGTTTGCACTGTTAATGTTTTGTTTAATTTTTGTTGTATACTTACTCTTCAAATATGATAAGTACATATAGTACATAACAGCATTTTTAAATTACATTTGTAATAAAAATACAAACAGCTGATTGAGCCCAGCAGCGTTGCCAGGTCCGAAAATCGAATTTCGGTAGGTAAGCTCGACACTTTTCGGTAGATATCGTAAAAATCGGTAGAAAATCAGTCTTCTTTCATTATTAAGGGGTCCATAAAATCGCATGTTTTTCAAAGCTTGAATTTTTTTGAACTTACAGCAACACTAAAAAAAACATAAGAGTCAATAGATATATTTATAACATTTCTTTAAAAATTACAACACATTGTTAACAAAATAAAATAATAAATAAAAATAAGAAAAAAATAAATACTTAAAATTCAATAAAATCTTCATCATACATATTGCTAATAAAATTATTAATATTAATTTCACGAACTAATCACTTTTCTTTCTTTTAAATAAAAATATCTCCTCAGCGTTCCAAATTATCCTTATATAAGATTTTAGCATTCATAGATAACACAAGCTTATCATCAATTTCAAAACTGTGACAATTGTCGCTACCAATATATCTCTTGGTGTGAAGTAAAGATTAAATTGTACTAGTTTTTAACTTATTTCTGAACTTAGTTTGGCTGATGAGTGAGGCAGAATAAGCAAGTTACAAGTAAAATTCGTTACAATTGGAAACATAAATGTATCATCTCCATGTTTCAATATTTTCAGAACATTTCGCAATAGACGCTATTCTGTGTTCCAGACCTTGTAATTCACCATTATTTATTAAATTCGGAAATATTATTGCAACATCAGAATAGATTGTAGGAAACCTGATTTCACTATTGCCGGATTCATAAAACATAATTTTTCTATAGGATTATTTTTTAGTGGGTACCGCTTTATTATTCGTGAGCCCCCTTCGATATAGAAATCTAAACACCTTAATTTGTAACAAAAAATGTCAATTGTTCTGATATTACAAATTCTAAAATTGTTTTCTGTACATTAAGACCTAAATATATGTCAGAAACTGGTAAGGAGTTATTAAGATTTTTAAAGTCAATGTTGGAAAATGGAACAGAAAGTAAGTAATTCCTTAAAAAAAACAGTCTAATAGATTTCTCAGTATGTTTCTCATATGAAACGTGTTATGAACTCATATGAAATTTAATTTGTTACTTTTCAGTAGAAATCTGCATGGTATCGGTAGATTCCTTGACGAATCGGTAGATCTACCGAAAAATCGGTAGACCTGGCATTGCTGGAGCCCAGTCATTTTTTTAGCGTGAAGAAGAACTTAGGCTCGTTCCCTTGTTCATTATCTCTGCGCTTGATCCATACGCGAACAACCTGTAATGTTGTTAAAAAAATAATGGAAATAATATCTTCACGTTTTCAGCAATCATTATTTTTTCATTATTCGGATTATGTTCATTTTGTTTGGTTAAATCGTTTTAACTAAAATTGAAGGGCGTTGTAAGGCAAAATTGAAAGGCAGCGGTTGTTAATTTTTTTAGTCATATTTTCATCATCAAATAACTTGACTGCCCAGAAGAATCATCGTTTTTAATATTTATTAATTAATAATAATAATGTGCCAACTTTTCTAAAAAAGCGAAAACTACGTTATAGGAAGATACGTTTTTCCATAACTAACTTACACACAAAATACTTTTTTTTCCAAATTTCTATTAACATTAGTTAGACAGTAATTAGAAGTGAATTTGATTTTTAAGATGTCTATTTTAATATATATTTCTCCAATTACATTTAACTGTATTTTGTATAACCTTATATATTGCGTTTAGAAAAATGTAAATCATGGTATGACATGGCACAGACAGGATCTCCTGAAAGACATTTTTTTCTTATGCATCAGAATAGCGGAAAATATTCACACATCACTGTTTGTTTTATATAATTTAAAAAATAGATACATATCTACTACATACGCCAAATTACTTGATTTCAACATACATAATGGAGAAATAATTTTTTGGGTTATGGTTCTAATACCACAATTGTTTTATGGTCAGATGCATACACAAAATTCAATGCATTAACCAGTTTATTTTCCTTAACAACAGATTTTAATGCTTTGTTCTATAAATATAAATTATCCAGACATACTTAAAACATGTAATATGGTTGGTAAAGTTTTCAATAATCCTGTATACATTTTCTGATTCATATTTGCAATGTTTTTGCTCTTGGGAACTCATTGGCGAACATTTGCTATGAGATGTCAATTGTCTTCTGTCAATTGTCTTGTTCATTAAATGACAAATTTTCTAAATAGTGAAGTGATTGTGTTACGTCAGTATTCATGTGTATACAATTTGTTTATTTGCTTTAAAACGATGCATTTTCGGTGATTTTTGTGAAAGGTACTTACGAATAAGATAATAAGCATTGTTGAAAATGAAGTGTAAGTATATGCATTATTATTATTATACTAAAATAATAGTCCTTAAGTACCAACCTTTCAACTGACCTATGAGCCCAACCCCTGTGACAAATTTTCTTGGTTCTTTGTATCAGATACTAATCAAACTACTTTGCGTGCCCTGTACAAATTAATGTAATTTAGAAGCTTTTCTTGTCCCTAATGATGTAGTTGGCGTTGGTCGTTTTTCGTTACGCATACAATTACTAATCACAGGGCAATTGTCTTTACATAACGTGAATTGTACTTTTGCTTGGGCGCCATATACCTACATGGATCTAAAAATATCCATATATCTAGATGCACAAATGAGTAAAAAACGTATACATATTTTATCAATTGAAACACAAATGTATGAAGTATGTTGCCCTTATATTAGTTTTGCTTAGTCAGATCAGTTGGCGTATTAAGATAGCAGAATCTGTTTTAAGTCAGCATCATGTTTTCTATTTAAACTGCTTTTATTATAACTGAAAACTAAAGTAAAAATGCATTTTAACCCATCTAAATGTGAACTAAACGCAACTAGCAAGATCTATTCAGATATGTAGAGTTCAAGGGCTAATCTTTCGACACGTGGAGGCCTTAAAGGCCGATTTATTAGACATTGCAGTCCCGAACCAATTATGAATCGTTTGCGTGAATAAATCTTTTATTGGTTCAAAACAGGCAACAAACTAACCCAACATTTCTATTAATGCCGAATTAAAAAAAATGTAATATAGGTACATGTAGGACTTAACTACCTATAAATTGGTACTTTCTGTATTTCTGTATAGATCGCTGATAATAATTATTAGGTATTATTTTTATTACAAAATGAACATCAAAATTAAGGTGATGTACTGTATTATCTAAATAGACATTGTATTATTTACGAAACGGTTGTTGCGTTTTCACAGATGCTACAGAATTTATTGTACGTTGACAAGGATGATGTGAAATAAACAACATTCAAAACAGTTGGAAAAACCCACGTTTGACACGTCAAAAATAAATGTTAGTTTGTGCGTTGGTCATGCCCAATGTTTAGGACGCACCCCGTATAGAAAGTTTTGATTGAAAAAAATGATCAACTAAAATACTAATCGACTTGTCTGAGGATTTTTTCGCGCACGAACCCATTTATTTCTTGATGAGTTTATTCCAATTAACTCATGCACACTTTTACATACGTTTATAATTATTTTGTAATAGTGGTTGTAATAATATTTATCAATTTATTGTGTATGAATCTTCAATATAATAATATAACATAATAAAATTTAAAATATTCCTAGTAGTTTGTAGGTAGCACCTGATCTAATAAAAATAATAACACTTAAAATTGAGAAAACTTTTCCAGCAATGAAACTTCGGCAATGGCGTCATATCCGAATTGTTCTAATTTCGCCTGCCGATGTCAAATCACGAGTCTAAAAGTTCAAACGCCCACTGGCGACTAAATTATAACTACACTTTAAGTAGTCAAATTTGACATTTGACACTTATTTTTATTAGATGTCATTGTGACTGATTTTGATTAGTTGTTCTCAGTTTTTGCCAGCCTTTAAACAGATAGAAAAGTGTGTAAGTATTCTTTTCTGTTATAGACTTAACAACGAAAGTAAAAGAATGGGATGTGTGGAAGGTATGGCCAATGTAATCATGATTTTCTCCAGTTAAAAACAAGTAATGTTTACGTTTTGCAGCGCCCTCATTGGTAGTTAAACTCGCGAATTTCAGCCTAAGTTGTAACATCTAATTCCGTGGCAGCATTCGACATTCGATGTCATGGCATTAGATGTTCACATGCACAAACACATAGTGTCGCGACAGACTCTTGCCAAAATGGCGGAACTCTTGTCTGCAGTAGAGAATGTGTGAGAAGTACATACTTATTTGAAAATTGAGACAAAAATTAAAATGCTGGTGTGGATAAGACTGTGTATTATGTCTAGCAACACATTAGGTGCATCATCGATTTTTTTACCATCCCAACTTTATTATTATAAGTAATTAATTTTTCAATAGTGAGATTTTCGGTCAACGGATGGTGGCAAAATGAAACACTACTTTTTCATGGGCCAATGTTTATTCAAGTCATCCTCAGGGCTCTAAAATGGAAAACAGAGGGGTTTTTTAGCCTAGAGCCCGGTGGAGTTTCAACATTTAGTGTGTGACATTGTTATACAATACAAATTTAAAAATTTAAAGAAAAAAAACTTAAAACTCAACTTCACAACAGATTAAAAATTAATACACGACCATCAGACTATCCAGTTAAAATACTAAAAAAATACATTAAAATTAACATTGGTTTAAATAAGTCAATCATGGTCAGTCCCGTCTTAAGAGAGTTTAAAATTACATCAAATAAAACGATCAGGCTGTCAAAACTATAAAACACACTCAAAACAATAATCTCATGTCAATAAGATTTAAATTAAAAAAGAATAAAAAACAGTGAACAAAGGACGAAACTAAGTTGGTAAAAAAAAATAAAGTCTAAAAAGGGCGCAAAACGGTTGTTTTGCGGTTACAACATATTTATTATTAGAGGTGCCCCAAATCGATCTAATTTTACCTCTTAACATTTTCACGATTTCTAAATTAAACATATGTAGACTAGTGGTGTGAGATTTGATTACTTTTGAATACTCGTACCGACTAGTTACTTTTGGATTTAACTCTTAACTTACTCGTTACTTCGAATCAGTTTCTCGAGTACTCATTCTAGTTGTTAGTCTTACGAAAGTCGAAGACCGATATTGGCATTTTATTAGTACCCGTCAAATTTGTTACACGGACACTTTATCAGACTGATGATATGAAGG